ACACTTAATACATTGATTTTATATTGAGCATGCTGTGTTTCAAAAAAAAGGAAAAAGAGGAAGAAGGGATCTGGGGAGGAAATAAATAAGCTATCCAGGCCAAGCCTTTTCTGCCATGCATGTTTCAGAGACAAAGAATGGAAGCTGGGATGAGAGGCCATCTTTATAATGAGCAGTGCTATAAGACTCCTTTCAAATCTTCAGACCTGACATGTGAGAAGCAGTGCATCGGTGGAACCAGCTGCAGCTTTCACATAATGACACAAATTATTGGCTCGTTAATGGGCAGCTTAGCCTTGAGTGTTCAGCCTGCAACCCCATTCCAGAGAACAGGGGCACACAGGATCAATCTCGGCCTCCTTGGACGGAGCTGTAAAACACGGGATGCATCCAAAGGACATCTTATCCTCATCACAGTCCCTCTCTCTTTCTCTCTCTCTCTCTCTCTCTCTGTCTCTCTCGCTCTCTCTACCTCTGTCTGTCTCTCTCTCGCTTTAATCCATACTGGTCCCTGGAGACGCCTACACTCGCCCCTCCCACACCTTCTCTCTCTCCCCCACACACCACCCTCAGAACAACTATCTGTCCACCTCCACAGTCGGCCTGTGGACAAACCCAGAATAACAATGTGATCTTGCCTCTTAAAGGCACATGGGCATCTTTTTGCATCATTATCTTCCCGTTCAAGACTGAGCTCTGATATGAATGTGATCCTCATTATCCTGATTCTGGGTAGACTTAGCTAATTACACCATTCCCCGTCATGTGGATATGATTGAATAATGTATGATGTTATTAACATATGCATTGAATTAAATAATAACAACTTAAAAATGGTCTGAGGTAAACAAAAGGTGCATCACATTCAATCACTCAGGCATCATATCCTTAAGCCTCTGCAAAGCTGCAGAATAGCAATCAACTACAAACACAGAGTCAAGTGCAGGACACAGCACTTATACTGTAGGCTGCAGTCAATGAGCCTCTCAGGAGGAGGTACTGGTCCAGACTTCTACAGTACTTACATCAGGAAGCCTAGGAAGGTTTGCCTACAGTGCCCCCTTCTGTCATAACAATATGGATTGTACAAATGACATAGCAAAAATAATAAAACAAAAAATGAAATGTATATACATTTTTGGGCTATACAAAAATAAGTGTTGCATGCACAACATTCTTTATCTGTAAATTAAAATCTGATTTTTTTAAATAACTGACTGTTTCCTGATTTCAGCTTGTTTGCTCCCTGATTAATGTCTTAATTAGGAAAGATATCTGACATATTAAATCATCAAGTGTACTCAAATATTCCATTGTTTTTCTGTGCTTTGCATTAAAAGACTGTACAATATATACAAATAATCTAATTTCTGGAGGCTCTGTTCTCACCTGACTAAAGTAAACAGTGAAGCCTTTTAGACCTGATCATACAGCAATGGAAAACTGTGGTGTTGCACAGGAAGCCATGAGGTGCACTCGTGTGTAGGAGGTGCTGAGGTAGAGAAAGGGTAGTTCAGAAGTTAGAGTGCTAACTGCAGCAATATCTACTGCTATTTTTAATCTGACTGTGACTGACTGTGGTCTTTACTTTCTAATCACAATTGACTTCACCAGCACATTTGCGTCTAGGATTACATTTTTAAAACCCCTTCTTGCAAGTTTAAATGATTTAGTTCCTGATAAGTAGCTGTAAATAACAGAAACAATAAATAATCCCTCTCATACTTTACTCATCTTTTGCTGAAAAGTAGCTTTAATCTCTTGTCACTCTTCCCTTTACACTTAGTTCACTTTAAACTCTTACTCATCCTATTTTTTTTTTTTGCAAATTTCCCTCCTACTCCATACCCACTATTATTGAATTGTTAATATTTGCTCTGCTCTCGAATAAGAATCAACACATTATGTATAATTTTCCCTAACAACCAAACAACTCAAGGCTGGAAAATAACGCAACATCAAACAGTCCTGTCAAATACCAGCACCGCCATCTAGAGGACAAAAGTATTATAGCATCAAGCACTGCACTGTACGCTTACTGTAATTTACACATTGTTTTCTGTAGCTTCAAGGCACAGATTGCCAAATGGCTTCTGTCCAACTTTCTCATACTGACATTAAACTTCTCTTCAACTGTTTTGTCTGTTTCATAAAACTTTCAGCACTTTGTGTAAAAAAAGGAATAAAAAAAAAAAAAAAGAAAACTAAACAAAAACTAAACATAAACATGACATAGACAGCTCATGAACACTGTTGTCTTTACCAACTGTCTCTGTGTTTTTATAATCTGTCTGGTAGAGTGAACTATTCTTTCTAAGAGCTATGACTATCAGCCTTACTTCTATTGTCATTAATATAAATGTTAAAGTGAGTCTTAGAGCTGCTCAACTTCAACTTCTACAATTATCATAATCAGTCATCCCTGTTTCATTAGCATTATAGTTGCTAATGTTAATATTAGATTGATCAGTCTATCATACTTACTGATGTTACGGCTAATTCTACACACTCTATCCCCTCTCAACCCTAACACAGTTTCAGCAGATGGCTGTTCAACAGGAGTCTGGTTCTGTTTCTGTCTCTGCCACTGTAATTTTGCAAAATGTTGCTTGGTGCTGTGCTCATTGTGGATTCATGTTGGGTCTTTGTAAACAAAATTAAAAAGGCTAGACCTTCTCGTTTGTCTTGAAAACACATTTGCTATGAATTGGGGTTATACAAGTAAAGATTGGTATATTGATTGATTGATTTCTCAGAGCTTGGTGTGGCTAATAGTCCCATTACAAGTATATGATGTTGCAGAGTACAAGTTTAAACAATTCCATTTACTTTTTGGCTAATGTATTGACTAACAAGTTTCATTTAGAACATCTTCCTTTTTTACTATTAGCTCATAGGCCGTTAATATTAATGGACGAAACTTGAATGGCGTCACCCATTAGTTACTGCAGGAGGCTTTGGAGTCCCATCAATGGTGGTCGCCATGCTCGGAATCCTGTCTCAGCCTAAGTTTCAGTCAACCTGTCGACAAGCAGAGAGCTGGAGCTTAGGTAGGTTTTAAGCCTCCTGGCAAACTGCTACAGTACAAACTGCCTGATTGAAAGGCAGGCACGGTTAGGGTCAATCAACCCTAACTGTTTATTTACACGAATCGTTTTGAAAATCAAAGCAAATGGCTCATAAAAAAAATCCAACCCCCTTACAGTGTGTGACCATAATGACAATAAATAATCAGACTGATATCATTTTTTGTACCAGGCTTCAAACATGTTTATTTTTGCTATAAAAACAGGCTATTTGAATAGTTGTGTATGTGACTTCTGGGGCCTGTCTGCAGCCTCTGACACTGTTAAATTGACACATTTTGACTCTGTTAGCAAACACCAATATATATATATAGTGTGACTGCATCCTTTTGGAGAAATTTGATTGGTCTAAAATAATCAAACAGTGCTCAACCAACCCCTAAAAATGTAATGTTCAGGAATTACTGCTAACACCTTTAAGTGCAGTAAACGTGGCAAGATTTAAATCTGTGTCAAATAAATGATATAATTTCAGTAGAAAAATTAACATGAAGCATCAAAAGTTAAAGGGATTAACATGCAATAGCAGCTTCAAATCAGGATATTGAACTGCTGGTAGATGAGTAGGCCGCACATGACAGCAATATAAACAAGCTGTCATCTTTTTTTTTAATAAATGGCACTTATGATGACAACATTACAGACATAATGTTTAAAACAAGGAAACGGCAGCAACTAGCTCCTAGTGTCTCTTTTCTCTGGCTTTTGTTCATTTTGTTTCTCTTATATGAGATTTTTAGTCAGAGATGATATGGAGATCCACTACAGCTTCCTTATACATAACAGTTAACGTAAGCGTCACTGTGAGGTAACTAAAGTAGGTTTTTATGTAGGGTTTCCACTGTTAATATGCAGCTATGATCATATTTGAAAAGTCCTCAACATACCTTGTTATACAACTGTAACTCTTTAGGAAACTTAAAAAGCACTTGTCCTCATTTAATAATGCGGCAAATATTCAACTTCCTCTTAAACTCGTCCATTTAAGAAGTTATATAATAGACACGCATTAGAAGCTGTAGTGGCTATTTTCACTTAGTGATAAAAAGCGTCAGAAGCATGGTAATCTTGTTCTTAAACATCATGTTCTACTGCTTAACTGTGGAGAAAGTTTGGATACAGTTCAGTTATGAAACCATTTGTTTCAGGATCAAGAGTCTTTATTTGCCCATACTGATATTATTATTCATCTCAGCCTTTGACCACCACATGCAGATGCTGTGCCAGGGATTGTGATATTATAGGAGGCTACATGGCTGACAAGGGAAACAATATATTTGAATCAAATATTGTTGAATTATAAGGTGTAAAATTAAACTGCCTGAGAAATGCAATATTCAGCAAACAAAAAACAAAAATAATAGGTTTTTCAAAATGTGAGCAAAAAATGCCAAATTTCACTTTAATGACAATAAGTCGAAGAATATTTATCACAGGTAAATTAATGGGAAGAGAGAGGTACAGTGTAATGAAGCAAACTGCTCTTAGTTTGCCTTTTGATCAAAACCAAGACTTCTCAATGCAAATCAGATGTGCGCACACATACACACACACACATACACACACACACACACACACACACACACACACACACACACACACACACACACACACACAGACAGACAGACACAGACTTACAACTTAATATAGTTTGGTCGTAAAGTTTGAAAGCTTGATTCAGTGTCTCATATTCAGGAGTTTGGAGTACAGTAAATGTGCTTAATTGTTGAGAATACATGTGTAATGGAAATAGTCCAACATTAGCAGCAAGTCCAGTGTCAAATATTCCTAAAATGCAATCACATAGTCTGTTCAACAAAAGGCAAACAGTCCATGGTCAGAGTTTCAGACCATGGACTGAAAAGTGAACCCGTTCTTGATAAACTAATGCATTTTATTCACTAGGAGGCAGTGTTGTCTTTTTTGTTGATTTTATTTCATTATTAGAGATCATGGAAAGAGAGCAACAGTTCCTTGTTTTAAAAGTCATGACAAAACAAACTTAAATGAAACCGTTATTTTGACAAGATTAAAAAGAAAAAAGATGAACAAAGCAGTAATGTATTTAACCATATAATGTTGCATAGCAGGAGATCACATCTACCAAACAACAGGAAGTCTCAACAGATATTTAATTATAAAAGCTGAGCTAATTTTGATAAAATATTTTCAAAGCAACTGAGTAAGACTCATTCAACATATGTAAAATAAAAAAAATAAAAATGTTGGTCATCTCATTTAATTGTAACAGACTCAACTTCTAGCTCCCCACTGTTACACAAACAGATATATTCACATGTTGTAATTAGATCAGCCAAGTATTAAAGCGTTTTCAGGATTCGCCATGATCTTGTCGATCCAGCTTCTGTAATCAGGAATCTTAGTGTAGCTACGGAGGAGCTGACCAGATTCCTGACCGGTAGACACAACTCCGTATGCCTTCCCATCTTCACAGACCAATGGACCCCCAGAGTCTCCCTGTATATACACAGCATGATTGTTAAAACAGGGAATTCATCACCACAAGTTTGTCTGTTTCATGTCATAAAATTGTACGTACTTCATATGGTCCAGTCTCCCCCTTAGAGCAGTAGGAGTTTTCCTTAGGACACTCCTCACTGGCAATGATTGTGACATTGGCTTCCATGAGTACATGAGACATACGTTTGTCACTCGAGTTTGTGCTTCCCCAGCCGGAGACTGAACATGATGTTGGCAGCAAGGCGTTGTCTTCACCTGCCAGCGCAATAGGACGTGCATCTTGGCTAAAATTGACCTTGGAGCTTAACTGTAAGAACAGAGAGAGAAACATGTGAAACTTGAAAACATGTCTCAGTAAAGAAATGTAGTTCTCATAACAAAGTTTTCAATAGAGGCCCTAAATATTAATTGAAAAAAAAAAAACATGCAGATGGGGAAAGAAGCCAAAACCATCATTATTGATGTATACAGGTATGTTAATATAACAGTTTTTCTTTTTACTTTGAGTAGCATCATGTCATTTCTGCAATCAGTTGCATTGAAGTCGTTATGTGGAAATGGTTTCTCCACAGGTATGCTCATCTTTCTGTTACCGTAGTTGTTAAATCCAAGCCAGACTGTGTGGGACCTGAAATGACTAGAGCAAAAATATAAAAATAACTATGGGGTTCTATAAAAAAAAAATATATATATGTAAATGCTTAGTTTTGCATAATTCCATTCTTAATGAATGACCTTTAGTTGTTGTTTGGATCAGAAATTCAGGATTCCAACTTTGTAAACATGCAGTTTTAGACTTACTTGGGTTGGCAATGTGCAGCAGTCATCACAAATTCTGCGTTCAGAATGAAGCCACCACAGTATGATGGTTTTCCAATCTGCATATGTGTCTCCACCAGCACCATGTATGGCCTGCCGTGCAGTGCAACCGGTTTACCACCAATGATTTCACCTGTATGAACTGAGAAACACTGCATTAAACTCAGCTGACCAAAGAAATTAAACAAATAATGAGATATATACCCTTTTACTTTCTCTCACTTGCTGAACTTTTTTAATATAGGGATCAACTGCATGTTATAGTACAATGTGTTAAACACTACAATATACATTGCATTAAAAATAAAACTAACCTTGACCACTGAGATTCAGTGCAAGTATCAGTATCACCAGTTTAAAGTTGATAGTCATGGTGAGATCAGTCGAGTCAAGTTCCTGAGGAGCAATGACACACATCACTGACACGTACAGTCTTTGAATGCTTCCTTTTATCAGAAGGAAAAGGAAGTGTTTATCTTATATGCACATGCACATGAGGCTGTTTGAACCAAATTCATATGAACGATTTCTCCATCTCATTCTGAGAATCTCAAGATTGAATTTTCTTGGAACTAGTATTAAAAAGAATACTGTTTTTTTTTTTTTTCACGAGGGCTTTCTCAGATTTCAAAAGAACCCACAGTGTAATATTCTCATTTTGAATAAGACATGTGTGTTGTGATCTCTAAGCCAGTTATAAAAACATCTCTGTCTGCTAAATCAGAATGCAGAATTAAAAACAGTTTGCAGTAAGTAAAATCTCAATATCTCAGCTCATCCCCAAAACATCAGAACAGTAGGATTCATTTGATTTAACCTCTTGAAACTCAGCCTTGTTATGAAACGATGTATCAACGCTCTGAGGTAGTTATATTATAATGAAGAAATGCAGAGCACTGACCTTAAATCACTGGGTATACAAACACTTTCAAACTGTACCCATACACTTCTGATGTTCTGATTATAGCCAACAGAAGGGAAACATTTAGAGTAAACATAAAAGTGCATGATTTTTGAAGTTCAAACAGTCATGGACAAATGCTTCTCAATATGCATTAAAAAGGGTTCTTCTTAAAGATATGCGTTACATTTTGGATGCTTTTTTTCCCTCAACTTTTTAAACATGTGTATGTGGTAAAGGCCCTGAAAAAAAAAGAATGGTCTTCTTTTTTTAAATGAGCAAATGTCAATTATATATGCAATAAAAGAACATATACAGTATATAAAGAAAATAAATAGGAAAATAGTTAGAAATATAGCAACAAGAATAAAGCAGTATCTAAAAATAGGATTATGTAGCCTATCGATGTGTATCCATACTATGAATATGTTCAGATATGTGTGTAGGCTACAGATATGTGTTTAATGTATAGATCATCACCAGTAGCAATTAAATAATACAAAATGGATGGGTATATACAAAAGTAAAGTAGATGAGGCTAAACATTAATAAAGAGGATTTATTTTATAATTATATTTACTTTATGTTTATATAGAGGCTGCACAGTGGTGCAATGGTTAGTGCTGTTGCCTCACAGCAAGCAAGATTCTCTGAGTGGAGTTTGCATGTTCCCCCTGTCCATGCGTTGGTTCTCACCAGGTACTCTGGCTTCCTCCCAGAGTCCAAAGGCATGATCATTAGGTTAATTGGTGACTCTAAATTGCCCGTAGGTGTAAATGTGAGTGTGGCTGGAGACAACCCAGTCTCATGTCAAAATGTGTAATAACTATGTTGGTCCACAGCTCAAAACATAGTAGTTTCACAATAAGGGCTCTAAAATTGTGACATGTGTACGTTTCCTTTTGTCTATTCTTTTGTACAGGCATACCTCAGGTCACGTGACTGCCCAGGAATCTAAGCCAGTGTGCTGCTGACATGCGCAATCGTGCCCTGTTCAAGCCTGTTGCTCTGTGAAAGACATTAAACTGAATATTAAAACAAGGAATGATGACAAATTAGATTAACTCTTCTATAAGGAAAGAAGAATAAAAAAAAGTACTAGGATGAATTAATATGGACAAGAGCATAAGAGATTTTTACTTTTAGCCATAATTCTAAACCAAGCACTTAAGGCTGTCCTCCAAGCACATAGTTCCCCAGATTTTATGCATACTTACACCAAAACAAAAAAACAAACAAACAAAATTTAAATAAAAATAAATAAATAAAAATAAAAACATTTTATGTACTGGGCTTTGAAAGAGCTCTATGAAAGTATGACTGCAAGACCCCTTGCCTATGAAATGAGAATATTTAAGTTTTTGGCTTAGAGCTGAACGACATACATCGTTGGAAAGGTTTCAACATGACCCCTGTTTTGAAATAATGCCCTTTGAACCTTGACCCAAGGGCATGTTTGAAGGCTTATACCTCAGCAACAAAAGGGGCTGGGCAGTCACGTGACCTGAGGTATGCCTATACAAAAGAATAGACAAAAAGAAACGTAGACATGTCACAATTTTAGAGCCATTATTGTGAAACTACTATGTTTTGAGCTGTGGACCAACATAGGAATTACACATTTTGACATGAGACTGGGTTGCTGGAGACCAGTTCAGGCCTGTATACCCGGCCTCTCGCCTAATGACAGCTGGAGTCGATACTCGACCTCCCCGTGACCCGAATGGTTAAAACAGTTTAGATAATGGAGGATTTATATAAAAAAAAGAGACTCTAACTTTTCTAAAAAGAAAAAAAGAACCTAAACTATCTGTGTTAATTTGCTCATATTACTATTAGTAGCATCAGGCAACACAGTGGCTACAGAAAGCTGTATTTGCAAGGATATTGTGCTGTTCAGTGCAGAGACCGGTGGCAATTTACAGCTAGTCAGTGGCTACATGTCTGGATATCTGGGTAAGAGATAGAAGTTGCTTGGGTTGTGTTTGCTGCTTCAACTCAAGTTGCAGCTGTTTTCATGAAGATTCTTGATTACATGACCCAATCTTTATCTGATGAACATCTTGATACAATCTAGGCTGCATGAAATAGCTTGTGTATAAACTTTTTTGCAGACCTCACGATCATTAAAAGGAAGGGGGGAGGTGAGATTTTTGTGGTTGACAGAGAGTAACAGGAAGCCATGCGAGCTGGGGAGGATAAAGATTAAGAAGGCCTTGTGCTGAAACGTGTCCGTTGTTGATCTGTACGCTGATGCTCTACCCAGATAAACATACTTTGAAGGACATTTATTGTGCTGACTTTTTAGTCTCTATATGTATATGTGGAAGTGAAGCGCTATGGTGTGAGAAATACCAAGCCAGTAGATGATACATTGCTTAGAGTGTATATCAGAGTGTATATCAAAGCATACAGTCCAGTGCTCAGTCAATAAAAAGGGATACATTGGGTTGTGTGGTTTGCTTTGTATAATATCCCTGAAATGTGCATTTATGGAGTGCTTGTGTTTGGCTGGACTTTGGGAAGTAAAGATCAAATATGTTTGGTGTCAGAAAAGTTTGGGTTTCTCTTTGAAGTCAAATAATATATGGGCCCAATCCCAGTCTCTACCCTAAACCCCTTTACTCAGCTGTATTACAGCTTAAATATAGAGAGCCTGGGAAAGTCATCCCTATGGCCTTAGAAAGCCTTTTCCAAAGACAATTTGCCACTATTTATTGACTTGCTCCTGATTAGATTCACTAAAGAGACTTAGCATGCTGAGACAAAAGGGTGTCTCAAAACTGGTACTTTAACACCCCTTATGCCTCAGTGTATCACACAGTCATAGGTCAAAGTTGTCCCGTCCCTGAGCCGACATCCAAGGTAGTAACAGAGGCATTACAGCGGCGAAACAGTATTAATATGAAATTGCCAACAGGCAGGGCTAAACATATGTGTGGTATCTGATGACATAATATTTGTGGTACCACTACTGGGGAAGAGTCACATGATTCTGCCACGCACATCAAGTTTACACTCCAGGGGACTGAATGTACAAAAAGTACAAAGCTTTGAACTTTGTTATGGCACTGTTGCGCAATTTGCAAAAATGGCAACTGTAATTCGCTTCGAGGCTTCATAGCTGACCTAATATATAAATCTAACATTATCAAATTCCTACATACCATACTATAACACTGTAGCACTATTTAAAATCACACACTGGAACACCAACATTACACCGTTGCTACTAAATAATGTTTTGAATTAGTTAATCTCGATAAAAATGTTTACCTGTGTCTGAAATGTAAAACAAATGAAGATGTTATGCAATATGTGTAGATGACTGAAAGATAAATAAGAGAGGTCATTTTCTAAAGAAAGATGGTGTCTTTTAAACTTCAACCTCAACCTTTACATAATCAGTCCTCCCCATTTCATCATCATTCCAGTTACTACTCTTAATGTTAGACTGATTGGTCTATTATCATAATTAGCTGTTCACGCTAATACTACACCTTTCTTTACCATTATTGCTTACAATGTAGCTATAAATCTATGTTATTCATAGTTGTTGTTGCTGCTCTGTATGTCTCCCTCCTCCTCCTTCTTCCTGTATCTCCCTCTAACCCACTTTCCAAGCCCAGCACATTTCAAACGGATGCCTGTTCATCATGAGTCTGATTCTGCTCGAGGTTTCTGCCTCTTAACGAGGCCACTGACTTTGCTATATGTTGCTTAGCACTCATAATAGATTAATGTTAGGCATTTGTAGATAATATAGCAAAGACCAAGGTCTTTTACCTGCTCTTACATAAAGTGCCTTGAAATAACATTTGTTGTGAATTGGTGCTATACAAATAAATATTGATTGATTGATTGATTGATTTAAAGAGGTCCAAATTTACTTTAGCCCATTAGTTTTACCACGGCATAATTTCAGGGTTGTTCAGTTTAAACATGCCTACAGTAGTAGACACCGCCAGTGTCTACTCCAAACTTCAAACACTAAAAAGTAGAGGAAAATGGTCGTATATACAAATGGCTTGGTAATGAGTTGTTTAAATCAGAGAGAAGAGCTTCAGCTCTATTTAGTTCCTCATGACGCGAATACTTAACCTTCAGCTGCAACAGTTCATTTATATCACAAGGGGCAGTGTTGTATTTGTGTTGGTTTAATGCATTCTCAGACAGAGTACAGCGATGCAGAGCACGTTCAATGACAGAGCAAGAGCTACATTTTGAAAAAGATTTTTAAAAAATACTGAGGATCTTCCATCAAGTCAGGGAAGAGAAATACACATATAAATGACATATTCAACCTACAGTATATAATTTGCCATATAGGTGCAGAATGATATGCATTGTAATTGTTATACACTGTATATTACATCTTTAAACAGCATTGAGTCTCTTACATTTCTGGTTTAAATCTGTGTTCCATGATTGGCTTATTAGTTGTATAATTATCTTCTCTTGTAGCAAAAAAAAAAGTTGTAGCATGAAGGCAAAACATTTTACTTTATCTATAGGCCAAACTAGGTAAAACACTTCATTGAGATTATTAAAGAACATTAAAGAAAATATTGGTTTCCATAACACAAGCAGATTTTTTTTAAGTCATGATTTTGGTATCACAATCTTCAAATGTAAATGTATGAACTATACATTTTTAATTTGGTGAATATTTTTGGAAAAAATCTAATCTTTTATGTTTAAGAAGTTTTTCATGCATTTTTCAGGTTTGCATTGATCCAGCTCCCATAGTTAGAAATCTTTGTGTAAGAAACGATCACTTGGCCATCGAAAGGTTTGGATTCAGTGGACACCACCCCGTATGCTTTCCCATCCTCACAGACCAATGGTCCCCCAGAATCTCCCTGGAAGTACATAAAATACAGTGATGGCTGTTACTGTGATGATTGACTAATGTTGGTCCATGGTATGTAACAAAAATGTGCGTATACCTCAGCTGGTCTCGGCTCTCCTTCAGAGCAGTACAGGTTTTGCTTTTCACAGTTCTTATTTTGAATCAGGGTGACATTGGCTTCCTTGAGTACCACAGACAAATATTCGCTGCTCTTGTTTCTTCCCCAGCCTGAGACTGAACAGGACTTTGGCAGAGCGTTTGGCAGATCCTTACTTTGAGCCGCCATAGAAATGGGTGCCACATGATCGTTGAATTTTACCTTGGAGCTCAGCTTGAGTGGCCGGAAGAGATTAAAACATCTTTAACATATGTAACCATCAATCATTAAATAGCAACTTTTTGATTTTAACTAGAAGGGTTATCTTACCTTAAGAAGCATTATGTCATGGCTATAATCTGTTTTGTTGTAGTCTTTATGTGGGAATGATTGTTTCACAGATACACTCTGTACCTCATGTTGATTAAAGGCATTGTGAAGTCCTAATAGGACTGTGTACGAGCTAAAAGGAAAAGAAAGAATGCAGAACATATCTCAGAATAAATGATTTGTTTGTATCTTTTGTGCAAAAACATAACATTTAAGGAACTTGAATTCATGCAATGATTTGTTAAAGCATCTTATATCATATTGTTGCCCTATAGGTATCATTAATCATTATCATTAAGTTGTGGGTTTATGTTGTTGTAGGATGAGAAATGAATGCAGGGGCTCCAGAGTTTCTTGAAATTCTACTATCACTTGTGTAACAAGGTGTATTAATGTGACCTGTCTTGGCAGTGGGCTGCTGTCATGACAAAATCCTCATTTAGAAGAAATCCTCCGCAGTATTCCTCAGAGCCATGCTTCACAAGTGCCATGTACGGCCTGCTATGTGCTTTCGCCACACGTCCTCCAATGATTCTTCCTGTGTGAACTATAGAAAATATTGATGAATAAAAAACTGAACTGAGCATTCATCACTTATTGATATCCAAGATATTTCACATGATATATAACTGACTGAAGAAATAGTTTAAATAAAAAAATCATAATAATAATAATATAATTAATATGTACAGTGCTGATCACAGCTGTCATTTGGCGACAGGCAGTGTGCACTTGTGACAGGTCGACCTTCAATCACAGGGTTGACACTTAGAGACAGAGACCATTCACATCCAATCACACCTACTGTACGAGCAATTCCTCATAAGAATGCTGGAGTACCCAGAAAGAACCAACACATGCACAGGGAGAGATGATATGGTTCATTTGTTAGGTCCTTGTGTATTTGCAAATATATATATATATGAGAAGAAATACTGTTCTCCCAGACCACAGAAATTAAAACAATTCTACTAATATATTCTTAAAAACCAAACGAAGAGAGTTGGACCATAAACAACCAAATTAAAATGCATGGCTTATACAAAGCATTATTCACAATGTTTAAAAGTGAAAGTGTAGGAGTTCTGTTTTCTGAAGTAAATTCTATATCAAACTGAAAGAAAATCTATTTTTACCTCTTGTGAATTTGCTGCCAAACTTACCTTGACCACCAAGAGTCAGCACAAGCATCAGGGCTGCCAGTCCAGCGTGGATATTCATGGTGAGAGTTTAGTCTAAGTTGGCACACATTGTTGAGAGTATCAGTCTTTATATACATTCTTGTACCAGGAAGAAGGAAGTGTTTGTCTTCTATTCAAACTGTGTGACTTCTGACCACATACAAGGAGGAGCACTCAATCATCTTCAGAGTATGAAAACATTCATTTTCAGGGTAATAGTGATTCATGATATAAAGACACCTAATATGTTAAGTTATGATATCTTTGAGCTGGGATGAACATTAGAATGTAGAAGAATAACATTGTTCATAAGGAAAGAAATAGGTATTAAATATGTGGGGTAAGTTCCCGTTTCAATAAATGAATACCACATGAAACGACACCTTGTTCATACATTGGTAACCACAGGTTCAGTTGTGAGTGAGTCAAATAAGCCTGGGCATAACTCAGACCTATGTGTGATTGTTAATAGTTGTTCCTTTGATCCTTCTACTCTGTAATGCCATTTCATGTCCAGATCCTTGGCTTTCTCAGAGGAGTCTCTCTGCCTGTCACACAGCTCCAAAGGTAACATTTTTCTTATGTTATGATGTCACACTACTGCTTCAAAAACGAATAGTTTTAAACGTGTCTGGTGCATGAAAATGAGAGGACAACGTGACCCTGAGCTACCAGAAGAATGAAATAGTTATTAGGATTCAGAAGAAGAGAAAGGAGATCAATCGGCCGACTGTTTTTTCATTAACCAGTAAAAGCCATTTTGGTAAATGTTCTTCTGTTAGGAAATGAAATATTATATTTATTAGAAAAATGTATTCATAACATAAATCGAAGGAAAATCCTAACATGTATAAAGCTTGTGGGCTCTGCAGACTGATTTTGTTTCAGTTTGGCAAAAATAAAGGAAAAGAAACTTTTGAGGCATTGCCAAAGGGAAGCTGCTTCCTAGCTCAGAACAATGACTGTGAAAAAAGTTCTTAATAAAGCTGGGTTAGAAATATAAAGAGTTTACAAAACCAAGATAAAGTTGTGGTTATAACCGGCTCAACTTTTCTACAGCATGCTTAAGTCTAAAAGTATGCTGCCGACCAACCACAGTGCTGATATCTGTTACATAGCTTCATCAGTCTAGACTCAAGTATGTCTCTCTTTATATTTAAGTCAGAAAACTTTAATGTTGTTGTTTTGAATGATGCACAATAGAGTTTTCATGTGCTGAAGTGTAGAGCCAAAGGAGGAATTGTGGTTGGATGAGATGAAAAAGTATGAACAGGTTTTTGGGATGTGAGCTCCTGGAGTCCAAGGCAGTAATGGGAATCACAGAGAGGAACTTGCTCTGTATAACGCGGCCTTTACTGTTAGCCCGTCACTTTTATAGGGACCCTGGGGCTGAGGAGATGGGCTGGTTTAGCCATCGGGCACAGGAACACGGAAATAGGGAATGTAATAAGAGTGATAAAACACATCAATCACAGCATATATTACATGTTTATTATGAAGAAAGGACATCGGTGATCATAAAAGCCACAAGACAGTGAAACAGACATTCCTAGATTAGCAATGATGGATCAAACATGGTTCAACAAAATCACATATGGCAACAGATATTTATAGTCTGAAGGAGACAAGCTGATATAACACTGACTGTGTTCAAGCATTTTCTTATATAAGCTGACTCTGTGCAACAAAGAATCAATTTTGCATATTATAATAGTCACTTAGTTCATATCTCCCTTTGTTTTATGGACTTTATTTTTGTACTTTAAAGGTCCCATATTATGCTTTTTCTGGTTTTATATGCCCTTTAGTGTGTTTTCAAGTGTCCTGTGCATGTTTAGGCACATCTATGTGCAAAAATTCAAAGTCCGCGGAAACACGGCTTCTCCTACCTCCTCCTGTTAGATAAAAAACAACAAAGTAACAACACAACGATAAAATTAACATTAAAAAAAACACAAATGTACAGGATGTAAAGGAGTTACGAGAACGGGTGGAGAATGATCAGACTGAATATGCCAGTTTAAAAAGATGTGTTTTGAGATGAGATTTGAAAATGGAGAGAGTGTCGATATTACGGATTTGTGGTGGGAGGGAGTTCCAGAGGTGGGGGGCAGAGTGGCTGAAGGCCCTGGACCCCATGGTGGACAGGCGGGCGGGTGGTGCAGTGAGTTGAATGGAAGAAGAAGACCTGAGAATGCGGGTAGGTATGTTGATATGCAGGAGTTCAGAGATGTAAAGCGGAGCGAGGTTGTGGATGGCCTTGAAGGTGAGAAGCAGAATTTTGAAGGTGATGCGATGTTTAACCGGGAGCCAATGAAGCTGCTGTAGGACAGGGGTGATGTGATTAACAGAGGGCGTTCTGGTGATGATGCGAGCGGCAGAATTCTGGACCAGTTGAAGTTTGTGGATGGACTTGAGAGGGAGACCAAAGAGAAGGGAGTTGCAGTAGTCAATGCAGGATGTAACCAGGGTGTTGACGAGGATGGCAGTACTGCTGGGAGTGAGGGACGGGCAGAGGCGATTAATGTTACGTAGATGGAAATAAGCAGACCGGGTGACATTATTGATGTGAGCTTGGAATGATAGTGTGCTGTCAAGGATGACACCCAGACTCTTAACCTGAGGGGAAGGGGAAACTGAGGAGTGGTCAATAGCCAGAGAAAAACTGTCAAGTTTGGAGATTGTTGATTTGGTGCCGATGAGGAGAAGCTCGGTTTTGTCACTGTTTAATTTGAGGAAGTTGAAGGTGAACCAGGATTTGATTTCTTGCAGGCAATCAGTCAGGGAAGTGGGTGGGAGGGAGGAGGTGGGTTTGGTGGACAGATAGAGCTGGGTGTCATCCGCACAGCAATGGAACTGGATGTTATACTTACGGAAGATATGGCCAAGAGGAAGGAGATAGACGATGAACAGAAGGGGGCCCAGGACAGAACCCTGAGGAACACCGGTGGTGACTGGAAATGGTTGGGATTTGAAGGTTCCGAGTTGAGTGAACTGAGTACGACCAGAGAGATAGGATGAAAACCAGTGCAAGGGTGTGTCAGTGATTCCGATGGAGGCAAGTCTGTCAAGGAGTGTGTGATGGGAGATGGTGTCGAAGGCTGCACTTAGATCAAGGAGGATGAGGATGGTTAGAAGTCCGGAATCAGCTGCCATGAGGAGGTCGTTGGTGATTTTTACCAATGCTGTCTCTGTGCTATGGAGGGGGCGGAAACCAGACTGGAACTGTTCATAGAGGTTATTGTCAGGTGGAAGCGTAGTTGCAGGAGCTCAGCGGCTGTGTAATGGAGTACCGCTGCCCTTGGGTTGAAGACCAAGGACAGGGCAGTCCAGACGAGCACGGACCATACAAACATTTTATTAATCCACATTGTTGCCGATGATGGACTGGATAAGGGCTCTGGCAGCAGAAGCAGCCCAGGTGAGGAGTGGGAGCCCTGCACGCAACAGGTAAGCTAATAGGCTACCAATCCAAATTAACTCACCGGGTAATCTGATCTTTTGGAAGTATGTCCAGGGAAGAATACAGCAAATGCAAAAAGGTCCGTAGATCAGCAAAAACAGTCAGAGGAACTGGAGAGCAGCGCCAGCGTTCACTCAACCGGACGTGACGTATCAAGGTAGGCCCACTGTGCCATATATAGGAACAGAGTTTTGAGTGACGATCCGCCGCCAGCACCGAGGGGCCACGCGGCCTCGGGTGCGGGGATCTTAACCGGTAATGATCCTTCCGCAGGTTCACCTACACATCATAGGAACATGATATAGGAACATTTTGTTTACATGCACAAACACAAAAAATTGATCCTAAAAAAACATATTATAATTATATTAGAATTGTTGGTGGAAGTCTCAAGTGCATAATTCCAAAGCATTACAAGTGACTTATGTAATATATACAATGAACACACCAACTCAAACTTACCTGGTGCTGCACCTGAGCAACCACCGAAAGAATGCTCTGCTTTATAATCATTCTTTTCTTAATCTGACCATATTTTCAAAATGAGCCTCATGCTGAAATCTAAGGGTCAATTTCTCATACTTACAAAAGTTGATGCTTTTGTAGATCATTCATGCACTTACACATCTGTTTTACTATTGAAACCAAGAAGAATCTTTGACTTCTAATAGACATTCTAAGCTTACATTAAAATTTACTTAAAGAAAAACATGAATCAATATTGAATCCCATGCAGGGCAAGCAAATAAAACAACTTTTGAGAAAACATCGTTCAGAGGGTTCAACCTGTTTATGTGTGTAAATGTTTCCAGTAAGCAATGTGTTGCAACCCTTCTGGGGATTTCATCCGACAAATAGAAGCTCTTCCTGTCCACAAGAAAGGACAGGACGAGTCTAAATTCCAAGACTGTAACTCAGCGTCAATGATGGGAAGACGTCACCCCTGTCAGGAGAAATAAGACTTTTCCCAGACAGCAGAGTAAGACAGCATTCCCAAATGGGCTCAGTAAACACACATACACACGCACACACACAAACACAAACACACAATCTTAGCTAATCCCTTTAGTAAGAAAAGCTTCTTCTGATCTCAAAAGAATCCTTTTGATCTACTTCCAGAAAATCCTATTAATCATTATTATTCTTTATTAGTTTTGGGTACAAAATCAATTTAATTCTCCACCAAATTATAACAAATGTACTTTTTATGTTCAAGTTAATTCAAGTTACCGTACTTGTTTGCATTTAAAAAAAGATACTGACTCATTCATAACACATCTCTCCTTTCCCCATTTCCTTGCCTGTTTACATTTTGATGCAAAGGAAAAGAATATCTTCTTTCCTGTACAATTATTTTATGTCATTTACTGTACTGAGTCAACATCAGTGTATAAATCAAATTACTTCTATGTTTTGACTAAAAAATTGGGACACGATCATTAAAAAGCCAGATGATCAACGAATGAAAATAACACTGACCATCTGGTTATATCACTGCAAACAAAATAGTTTCCATATGTAATGTTAGAGACAGCACTTCAAAATTGAATTGATGATTGAAGTTTATTATCCTACCTGAACATTATTGGTTAAAGTTATGAAACTTTATGAAAAAA